ATGGGTACTTCCAGTAAAAATATTTAACATACTCCGATAATAGACTTAAAAAATTCAAAAAGTGTGGCCGGCCACGCAATAATATTTAAATAAGTGAAAACCGAAGAAAATCTTGAATTATATTTCTTTTTTCAAGTTAGAAAATCGAGTAATAAGAACGTTCAAAAAATCAAGAAATAATTTATCAGTTCAGAAACTATGAAATTGAATTAACGGGTAATTAATCTTAAAATAAATACAAATTGCATCAATATTTTGTTAATTTAGAAAATTATTTTGGATTATTTTCACACTTAAAATATCTGAGAGCATTCAAAACAGGTTAACTTAAAAATTAGATTTTAAATTACCATATTTATTTCTATAACCAGTTTTAAAAATATTGTTTGGGCAGTCAGTCCGGGCATTAAGCTTTAAAGTTTAAAATTCATTCTCATCTTCTTTTTCTATTTTTGTTTTAGTTTTATTGCTCTAGAAATAAAGTTAGTAAAATTATTATATTAATTCTGGTTGTTAGAACCAGCAAATTTTCTTTTGAATATAAAATTTAAGAAACCAAACTTTCATTGGAGGTCGATTTTAAATTTTTGATCATATCGACACAATAAATTAATGAAGTTTTCTTGAAATTTATTATTTGAGTTCGGAGTTTAAGCGAAAATAAGAAGTTACTGAAGAAAATCGAAGTACATAAAATGAAATGTTACTAAGAACCAAATTTAAATTTTTGTAGGGAATTCAATAGTCAATAACAGTTGAATATTATTCCAAAAACCAATATTGCATTCTGTTATGTGCTGCTCGCATGTCAGATTTTTCATTTTTCTCTTTGACTTCAGTTTTTCGATCACATGGATGGCAAAAATTTATTGAAACTCATTGTTTTTAATTCGAATTTATTTTTTATTCATTTTTCCAAATACAATATTAATTTTACAATTATTAATATACATACATTATACACATACTTATTATTATGTCAAAATTATAATAAAGAGAATGAAAAATGATAATCAAAACAGAGGCGAATGAGAGAAAAATATTATAAAGAGTGTATAAACGAAGATTTTAGATGTTGAGCATAGTATGACTGATTCACTTTATGATTTAACCTTTAACACTGGTTCATGTTATTTAAACATGATTAAGTTATTATAGCATAATTAGAATAATTAATTTTAATAGCAATTAATTTTAAGAAATTTAAAAGTTATTAATTAAAGAAAATGTTAGTTGGATAAGGAACGTGAAAAAGCAAATGAGTTTTGGCGGAAGTGTTATTGAATTTCATCTGGTTTTGTATAGTGTTATTAATTTATACACTAGTTAATTACATATTTTTCTATAATTTTCAATGAATGTAAATTAAAATTTTCGTCTTATTTTTAATTTACTTTTATGCAATTCCATCTTTAATAATAAATAATTATTAAGTACGTCCTAGTTAATTTCGGAGCATTAATAAAATTTTTAATTATTTTGGAGTTAAAGAATAAATTGGGTATGAATTCTAGTAGGTAATTTTTTAAATTAAATTATAAGAATGCAAGTAGTTTTAAAGACAGTAAGAACATAACATTGTGAGAAATTAGAACTAGCAATATGGAAAATTTCTATTATACTTGATGTTTGTACCGCACCTGGCTGATTCGCTGAAAATAAACTCCGGATCGTTGTCGATATTATAAATGCTATACGTAAACTATAAATTTTACGAACTTTTAAGTCCGGTAATTATTTTAATATTTAGCATAAAATTTATTTTCCTATCCCATTTCCTGTAATTTCAATTTAAATCAATACTTTTTAAAAACATTTTTATAAGACCTGTATGATGATCTTTAAATATTTCCATAATATGACTCTCCTTACATATTCTGTGTCAATGTTTTATTCTTGAGCTAATTTTTGGATTATCTGTCTCTTACATTCTGATTTCAATCAGTACACTGGTATGATATACCCAAATTTTAAACATTCGTTTTCATTTTCTGTCACTGGAAGTAAGTTTTTGATAAATTTTTTATAATAACTGCAAATATATGAGAGAAAAACTAAAATATGTTAATAAAATGTAATTTCCAAGATATCGACATTACTGGATCTCACGGCTAATAATAAGATTTTGAGTCCCCTAAAATATTAATACTTAAACTGAAATAATGTCTGTTGAATATTTAAAAGTATACTACATATTTTTCATAAATATTCAAATATTACTAAAAAACTATGATCTGTAAAAGAACACAACACATATTTAAATATTTTAAAGCCATGAGTTGGTGCTAAATTTCAAATTTTAAGAAAATAAATATTTTTTTACAAAACTTTCATTAACATTATTATGGATTAGTATTGAGTCCACTACCTAGTTTAATTAGCATTGACATTTTTTTTTCTTCTATTTTTAAATTAGAAAATTATTCTATAGTTTTGTTAAAAAAATTTAATTAAAAATATTTATCATTGCTATAATTAAAATATCGTGTATTATGTTGTGGTATCAATGCCAGTTATATTAGAACTTCTATTGTTTTTCGATATTTTTTGATATTTTTATTGTGCCTCATTATAGTAGTAATTTATTGGGAGTGTTATTTAATAAAATATTTGCACACCTTCCGACGAACGTACACTTAGTTATGTACAAAGATTAGCATCTAAATTGTAATAAAAGCTTCAATTTCTGTTCTTTCGAATTAAATTACAATTTTCTTTAAGAAATAAATTTTATTTTATGCGTTGAGATTTCTTAATTCATAATTCTAGTCACATAGCGAGAACATAACAAATAGATGTACTTAGAATTTACTCGTGTTTCATACATACTACAATTTTATGATTATTTTCTGAATAAACTAAAAAAATTTTTTTAATATTATCACCCTACTTCAAATCTAATAATATATTACGTTTGGTGTAAAATAGAATTAAAACTAAATCAACAAAGCTCTACTTTATATTCGTTTTAAAAATTATTAAAAGCTGTAAGTAATTTTCAATATTAATTAAAAAAATAAACATGTATATTATTTTAATTTTAATTTAAAGCAGAGAAAGTTTTGTGTTAATATCACGAAACTGGATGCGTTTTTAAGGAATCTCTGCCTCCTCTCTGCCAATGCTGGATTTTAGGAAAGAAAATGATTTATCGTCAAATTTTCTTTCTCGTTACACTACGCTACCAATCTTCTCTTCCTGATATTTTCGTTAATTGGGCAATAATCCTTTGTATAGCCCTTATAAAAAATTCTAATTTCTTTCCAGTGGAGAAATACTAGGTTTATGATGTAGGATGCAAATTTACCTTACCGTCACAATATTATTTGGCTGCGTTGCATATTGTTCTGTTTGTCCATCGGCTGTTTGTTTGTTCTATTTCGGTAGCTCATAGTATCAGTTTATATGTGCTCAGAGGTATGGTATATATTTTCTCACGATATAACCACGTAAACAGTACAGTGTTTGTTGCTTTCTTCGCTTATATGCGAAAATGCGGCACTGCATTATTATAATTCGTAAACATTTTATGGAAATTATGAATTCTGTAAAGAATACTTAAAATATTTTGTTAAAATTTATGTGTTTTCAAAAATTAAATTTAAACTTTCCGTACAAAATATTTAATTTTTTTTTTATATTTTTAAACATAGTTGACCTTGAAAATTAATTGATTTAATTGGAAAGTCGTGTTTTGGTTCAGTATAAAGAATCCGGAATTTTTGAAAAGAATTCAAAGAACCAAAATATTTTGAACAGTTTGATACCAAATTTTTTAATACTTTATCTCATAATGGTAATATAAAGCTCATGCAAGTGCACCCTTATTTGTTCACACTTAAATGTAATTTTTGGTTTTAACTTCTAAATCTATTATTAAGTTTTCAATATGCTTATTGCAGGTATTGAAAAAGGTAATTGTGAATATTTTTTTGAATAAAATGCTTTGATGCCAGAAAAGTGTAATATCACCTGTAATAAAGGAAAACAATCCAAAACAAATGAAGTGTAAAACGTGATTTTATTGTAATTAAAATTTATGTTGAACTTGAAATTTTTCTATCGTCTTCTCTTATTTGTTTTACTTAAATTATCGTGATTCATAGCTCTATACGTAGTAGTAAAATACTTCACTTAAAGTTCATTTTGAGCAGACTTTAAACAAAATCATAAAAATGTGCTTATTAGTTCTATTGTGTCCGTTCGTGCAAATTTTTTGTGAGAAATTTTTTTTGTTCCAAAATATCAATTGGAATATTAAATTTAAATTATAGCTTAGATCATGTGGAAACTTTGAAGGTAGACGGTAAATGTATTTGTACGGTAAAATGTAGACGGTATTTTATTTATCTTTGCTGAAATAGTTAGACATCGAGACATTTCATTATGTTAATGACTCTTTTAAGTCTCAGCCTGAAAGTCTGCAAAAATTATAGTATATTTATAGGTAAATTATTAATGAGAATAATTCAAATTAAAGATTATGAATTTTTTTTTTTCAAAATTATGCTAACTGGTTGAAGAAAAATGTGCTACTTTGTAAAGCATTGGTTTAATTCGATTTTACTTGCAATTTTGTTCGAAATGATCTTAAAGAGAGAGAAAAAATAATGACGGGAGATTATTTTGTCGCTCGTTTGTGTTTACTTGCAATGCTACGTCGTTCTTGACTTTATGTTCTTCTCTTCTTTTTTCTGTGATTAAATAGAGAGTGTAAAAAATATAGAAGAGTGAATTAAGAAGAAGCTTTAATTTTCTGTTCTCAAGCATAATTTTTTTTTGTTTTTTGTGCACAATGCTGTTCTGATTCTTTAACATGTTTTAATCAGTGATTTTTGTTTTTTAATAAAATTATTTTGTATTTTAATAAGTCATTTCATTTTGATTAGAACATCGGACATAAGTGAATGGCATAATAAGATTTATTATTAAAAAAAAAACTTATTACCAAAAATTTAAGAATAAAATAAAAAGTTAATTTTAAAATTTTTAGAATATAGTGGTGTTAAAATTTTATTTACTTTATTTAATCATTAAAATTTAAAAAAAAATATAAAAAATACGGAAATGAAAAACTTACAATTAGTGTTATTTTTTATAATATTAGTTATAATTTTTGTAACAGAGGTCAACTCTTTTATATTACTTAGGATAGCTAGTTCTAGAAATCAAGGTAAGTCTCCAAATTCTTAATATCTAGTACAAAGCATTAAAAATTAATTTTAAAAATTTTCTTTTATGCTTTTCGGAAAGCTGCAACAAGTAACAACAATATTGTTCGACCAACATCGTCTAATGCCGTCTCATATGATTTTCGAAATCTACCTAGAAATGTTATTCGAAGAAAAATTGAATTAGGAAATAATTTAATAAATGCCTTTGCACAATTTAAAATTGGATTAGCATTAGAAGGTGCAAGAATTTTAGTTTCAGCAACATCTCCAGAACCAACAACAAATTCTAATAGTGATCCAACAACACCACGTCCAAATTTCACTTTTTCAAAGACAATTACAAATTAAGTAGATGAAGTAAAATACAAAATACAGGGGTAAATAATAATTAAGTGACAAAAGGTTCAATAAACGTAAATTGAAATATTGGAGAAGATTTTGTTTTCGCCTTGAAAAATTTAATTCATTGGCAAGGTTTAAAAAAATGTTCGAAAATTCTCAACAGAACTTTATTTTTTGATTGCTCGTTAGTAAGATTATGGTGTTTGTTTCCTTAATTTTTACGAAACTAAATAAATTATTTTTAATAATTTTATAAACTTATGTGTTCGTCATAAAGTGGTGGCCATTTTAATTGTTAAAATTAAAAATTGATTTGTTAATATTTAATTTTATTAAAAATAAAAAAAATTATTATGAATTTTTGAAAAGTTTTCGAAATTTGTAATTAAGAACGAAACTAAAATTTAATTTAAAAAAAATATATGGAATTATAGAATTCGGAACTTTTATAATCTTGAAACTATATTGAAAATTAAAGCAAGTGTTAAGCAAGAAGTTAGAGAAAGTAAGTAAAAGAAATTTGAACAATTCTAACTAAAATGGTATTTAAAATTTTTTATTATTTTAATGCGTGTTGACAACCGATTATATGAGCGAGCTAGATGAGCAAGATCAAACTTTTTGCTTTATAGATCATTAAATTTATAAAACAAGAACTGTGGTTTGTGATTAGTTATAAACATATTATTTGCTTTGTTATGACTACGAAAAAAACCGGATTCTTTTTTCAAGCAACAGGTTACATTTCATTCAATCAGCGATTGAGTTGACTAATAAAAATTTAAAATTAAATTTAAAATGACAATCAATTCGATTATAAAATTTAAAATATCAGGTTGTATTAAATAAATCATGGGTGAAATTCATAAAATTTGTAGATAATCAATTTTCCCAGTTATAGTTGTCTATCGCATAGAATGGAATGTTGCATAGAACATGACGTATAACTTGAAGAACTAAAATAATAGTACGAAAATGCAGGCGGTTTGTTGTTTCTTCCTCTCTTCACTATAAATAAAGAATAATATTTAAAGTCATATTACAGTTATAAGCTGCAAAGATAGTTATATTACGTCATAGATTTATATTAGCTGATAATATAAATATCAAATAAACGCAAAACCCAATGTGAACTTGATGAAAAATTTACGAGTTGTCACTCATAAATGAAATGATTACAAGAAAGAAAGAACTTTTAAAACATGGGAGTCTTACATGTGAAAAGTAGTGAACTTATTGGTGGAGTATATACTATTGAGAAATTTTGAATACTATAAAGTTGAGAAAACTATAACTTATATTAGGTATAAAATATATTTATTTTATAAAGGCGAAATGAGCACATAATTTCAATTAAAATATCGCGTAAAGAAATCAGGTAGCTTCCGATAAGTTATGAGACTCAAAACAAAGAGCAGACAAAAACAGACAAAAATCGCCCAGTATGAAGCAACAACTCAAAAAGTAGTTTGTTTTTTATTTTGGCACTTTTTCGAAAATTAATTTACTCGATTTCAGGTCACAATAAAGTTTTATGAAAAGCGTGGATTATCAAAAATATAAACATGCATAATACCGTTCAAAAGATATTAAAGAGTTCTTCAAGTTTTCCTCACAATATAACGGAATTTTTAATAACGGAAGGTCTTAGGCCCAAAACAAGGTTCTGTGAAATAATTATCAATGAAATGAATTTGTACAACTTACTAACTTTAAAGAAATTTTATAAAACTCTAGAAATTATGTTTGACTATCGGTTTCATTGAGTTGCACCAAGTCAGGTTAGAAAAAAATTTCCAATTTTATGGCCTTGCCATTCACGATTTCTGGCTCACAAAGATTTGTATTTATTATATATTTCGCCATATTATTACAACTTCACAATACTGTTCTAGATTTACATATATGGCTAGGTTACTAATGAGCCACGAATTCCGTTTAACTCTCTAGTTCTCAATATAATTCCGAAACTTGCAGAATTAAACTTAATCAAATATTTCCAAAGAAAGCATATGGAACGACAATGCAATAAACCCTTGTACCTTCCCAATTAAAATTAAAATTTCTTTTACTCCACTCGGGGTATCGTTAAAAATTAAAGAAACTTTTTATTCATCTCAAAAATTATTTCATCTATTTTTTTTAATAAAAAAAATTTCATTTTAAATTGACAAAAAAAAAAATTATTATTATTATTTTTTTTTCTTTTTATGTTATAAAAATACTTGAAACCTAAATTACTTCTTCCCATTGATGACGCCTATAATATAATCCTCTTTAATTCCAAAAGTAAAACAGAAGTCTCTTGATTCCATTAAAACGGATCATAAAATTTCATCATTAATTCTTGGACATTTATTTGAAATTTATTTAAATTATTTTTGTGTCCCCTTCATTTTTATTATTTTTTACAGTCAACGTTCTAATATTTTGATTTTTTTTTTATTTTGATAAAATGGAAGGGTGGGATGGGGTGTGGTTGGGGAAAGGTGGATATCACTAACACGATTTTTCTTGAAAAATTTTTTTACATTAACTGGTGTCATATTAAACTAGCAGTAACTGTTGTTAAAATTGTTTTTCTGTTTTTTTCTACCTTTACCTATCACAATTACTTAGGTGCCCAAAAAGTCCTGTGGAACAGATTTTCAATGTTTCACTTATTTTTTTTTGTTGTGTTTTTACTTATTTTTTGTTATAATTTTTGGTTTGTGTATAGTAGAAATTCAGGGGGGAAAATTATATATGTGTATATATTTTTGTTTTCATTTCGATGATGACAACGATAAGAACGAGAAGAAAAACAAAAAATAAAATATCCTTTTTCTAATTCATCCGTAAAATCAAATTTTTTCCGACTTTTATATTTAACGCAATGGAATAATCCGAAATAACGAAGAAAATTAGTACATAAAACCAAATAACGTGAATAATTCAGGTATGAATCTCCTTTAAATTTTATTTTTTCTAAAGATTTCAGGTATTTACAATGAAAAATTCTTGTTTTTAGCCCCCCCCCGCTCCCTTGACATTTTTTTGGGCTTTTTATTTAGAAAATTTGTAGATAAGATAACACCTAGGATTAAAATGTTTTTATTTTAATTAAACAATTTTTGGGTGAATGAATTAGAAGAAAATATATAGAGTTTGTGTGTGAAGTTAGTGAGGAAAAGAAAGAAGGGATTCGTTTTCTTTTATTTTGGTTGGAATTTCAAAAATTTAAATTATATTTTTGTTTTTATTTCAGAAACAGAGTACATGCCTAATATTTTAAGTAAATAAAATAATTGAAATTTAATCTTTATATTTTTCTTTAAGAAAGAATTTTTTTATTTGTTTCCAAAATCATATTTTTGATGGTAATAATTTTAATGGGCTGCTGAAAAAACATAATTTTAAGATGACTAACATTTTTAGCAAAGATTTATAATGATAATTGTATTTCTATTTTAATTATCGTGAAGTTGCCTTTATGTTGGGGGTGCTTTAAGCGAAATTTCTTTCAATAAGTTTAAAATTATAGTATATTAATCATTTTCAATACTTTAAGTCTTCTTAATCTCTGGACTCTTTTATTTACCACTAACAAGGAGATTTGTCTATAACAATGAGAGATTAGTAACAAATAGAGGATTGAGTTTATTGATATTTTTAGGTATAGAATTAAATTTAAATCAATTTTGGGCACGTGCTTTGAATTATTTGAGTGCTTTAAATTAGTAAAATATTAGGGGAATTAAAGGTACTATATAGAGAAGTAGGAATTATTCTATTTTAGTAGACTAAAAGTATAAAGAGAAATCTTAATTAAAAATGAACTTATGTCTGATATAATTGCTTTCATGCCAGTAGACAGACGGATACTTTTTTACCAATAAAATAATGCAGTATTGAAATAAAATATTATTGCATATTTATAGGATGATTAGGAAATTCGAAATAATTTAAATACATATTGAGAGAATAAACAAATGAAAACCTTTAATATTATAAAATGCATCAAATTTCTATTTCAAGTAACTAAATAAATAATTTTTTCTTTATTTTTACTGTTCATCTGTACAGAAAGTAATTGACTACACTTTTGTTGGTTATGAACTCAATTTTAAGTGTTCATATCATTAAGTGACTATCTACTTATGCTGTAGAGAGGTGAATTCGAGCATTTATTTTTCTGTAAAATGTTATTTGTGACTCTATTCACCTTCGAGTTTTACATCAGCTGACATTGAATTTAGATCTAATATATTTTAGCAATTAAAATAACTTATTTAAATATTTCATAAAATTGAATTCAATTCCAAATAAACATTTCAGCACAACAGCTGAAGTGCTAATTCCATAGTCAATACACCATTCAACGAATAATCTAATCTAATCTTATGCTTATTGATATAGTATTTTATAAACGTATGTAGCTATGTAACTAGATTAATTTTATGTTGTAAAATAACTAGAAAATGCTATACTCAAATACATATACAATTTTAATTTGCATTTTTAAAGAGAATAACTTTGAAAATTTTCTAAATTATGGCGAATTTTTATTGGTAATTCTTGTATATATTTGAAACTTTTACGCAATTCGAAATCCTGAAATTTAATCTATGTCCAACAAAAAAAAAAATCATTTTTTTCAAGGTACTTCTCATCTAAATAATGAAAAAAAAGAAGGAAAACAGAAAATATGTAAAACTAAATAAAAATGTAAAAAACATCAAAAATTGAGATGATAACACTTTGCATAATATTCTCATTGCTTCTCGTATCTATATATGGTATTGACTCATTATATGTTTAGCATTAGAACACATTTTAAGTTGAATAAAACTAATAAACATAAAGAGAACCTTATCTTTATGCATTGCTTCTGTTATTGACGACATAAAAACATTATGGAGAAAGTGACAAGAAAGGAATGAAAAAATATCTAAAATAAAGAAAAGAGAGAACAAAAATAAAAATAAACTTAACTATGAAGTACAGAGAATATTCTTGTTCAAATCTAGGATATTTAACATGACTATATACTGGATTAAAATGGATTTATATAGGGTGAAAATTAATAAATGTGTTAAAGAAGATTTCACAAATGGACATTATTTTAG